AGAATTTATATGACTCAACCTATGTGCGACAGGGTCCAGATACACTGTAGCCATGACCTACTCTTGCTTTCCTGGGCCACAGCTTGACCCCCCCCCGAACCATTTGTAACCATACAGAAAACAACAGAAATGTTGACTTTCATAACCTTGCAGGTTGGAAAGCTTTACCAATTATAAGCCTATAGTGGGCGGACTGCAGGAGCTCTTCTGGCTGTGATTTGATAATGAGCCCCTGTAGACCACTGTTACAATGCTGACTATTAATTAAACCCACTGAGAGATCCCAGGGCGGTCCCAGGTAGGGGAGATGTGAATGTGTATGGACAGCAATCATTCCCAGTGTTTATACACCTTTTAATTGTTTCAATTAATTTACTTCTAACAGTGAGTGTTTGAGCCTTAGCTGCAGGCGCAAATCAGGTCGCTCCACTTGATTTGTTCCACATCTTGATCACGTAATTCAGCAAAACTTACATGAAGGCTCAATTAAGATGAAACAGTATAATCAAGCTGTTGTCCCCGAGCATTTATAATCTGGAGTTTCTTTTTCAACTTTATTAATTCATAAACTCAACAGATTTAGTTTAGACCCGATTATTCTAAACAAGTTCCAAACATTAGTTTGTTATGTATATGTCAATCATGCTGATTTTCACTAGAGTAAAGTAAAAATAATGCCATGGGCCTTTTGACTTAAAAAAAATCATTGTTCAGATGTAGTATATACTATCTATCAATGTGGGGCAACAATTGTAAAATGTTGTCTAAGTTTCAGAACATTGTTTATTTATATTTAATATTTAATATCAAATAAATGTGTCAGTAGATTACATTGGTCGTTCAAGGATACTTTCTAAGAAATTATGGACTCTAAGAAATGATGGACCCTAAAAAAATAATTACTGATCAGTTTCTATTGTCCCAAAGGGATAAGAGTACTACAGTGTACTTTACACCCCTTATAATGTGGTTATTCTTCATTGCATAACACTGCTACTGAATGCCTCAATGTCATTGATCACAATACAATCTATAACACAACAGTAACCTCTCCACATTTTCCACATCACTTATGGGAAAAAAGTATGTTTCTATAAGAGGAATAAAGTCAAATCCTAGCAGAAATGTATAAAACTGTTAATGATGGCCTTGATATTTGTACAACACATGACACCCTAAAAAAGAGGGTGACGGAGTACAAGGAGGGTCTGGACAGAGGACAGTTTGATTATGTGCTGGTGTGAAGACGAGATCAGGAGATGAAAATGATGGATGGATGAATGGTTCTTTGTAGGGACTTAGATTGATGATGGTTGTTGTATGTTCTGTTAAAAGATTCCTTTTCCGAAGTATTCATCTTCATGAAAGTTTTTTTTTTTCTTCACACCTGTCAACCATTAACAAATATGTTTCTTTATACGAAAGTTGATGAAAATGTGCATAGAAAAACTGTTAGAAAATGAGAGAGTTATATGCTTTAGTAAACATCAATAAAAGTGATATAAACTCATGAGCACTATGTGTGCCATACTGGCTGCCCCACGCAGTCCTCTTACATAATGCAGAAGCCACATGCAGCTCTTTGGGCTTCACTCATCCAAAGGAAAAGATTATGTGTTCAGTCCATACAGGGACAGTCAGAAGTGGAGATAGACGGGGGTAGGGGGTGGAGATCGGGGAGGTGGGGCAGATCCGTCCACTGAGCGGACTTAAAGTCCTGACAAAGCGGAGGAGGTGCTGCAGGATGTGACAGAGTTCAGACCTGCAGCTCTGCGTGCAGCTGAGCAAGCCCAGAGCTGTCCGAGGTGCTGAACAGCTGCTGCTGCTGGATCATCGTCATCTTCATCATCCCGGCATGTATCTGATTACACGTCCTCACCTGTGACTTCAGCTGGAAAGTGAGTTCTCTAATCTGACCATCCACATGTTTGTTTATCCCTGCAGTGTTTGTTGTATTCGAACTTTAGTGTGTAGAAGTCTGTGTGTGGAACCGTGGAGGTCATTCTGTGTGTGGTTTCTTTATCAGTCACACGTTTACAGGTTGCATTGTGCTGGCTATAACTTTGTGCTTTAGTATAACTTAATGTCACATTGGAATCGTGTAAATTGCCTTTATTTGAAAAGTGCAATGTTTTATAAGACAGAAATAAATAAAATGTATCACTTGTTTAAAAAGGGCTTAGCCAGTTCATTTTTTCTTCATCACATTTAGAGAGACATGATTGAAGTTAAATCATATTTCAGGTTTTAAGCTTTCTTTGATAATCAGCTGACATTTTCATTTTGAGAGAAGATGTTCTTAAAGATGTTCAACATGTTCTCAAGTCTTCACATTATAAAGGCGGACTCACACAGAGATCACACATACTGTAGCTGTTGCTGCATTGTACTTCAGAATCAGAATCTGCTTCATTGGCCAGGTGTGTGTTAACACACTGTATAGGGTATTTGACTTTGGCTGAACTTTTCTCTTCATGTACCAACATTGCACTAATGCAAACATGTCTAAGTGAGACGTTAGGTCATTCATGTGTGTCTTATGTCCTGCGTTAGAAGGGGACTGAAAAAGAGATTGAAAAACATTAAATTGTATCATCTTTGTTTTAAAAGCAGTTTATAAATATTTGAAATGTGCTTTAAATGTAAGGACTATTTTTTTTCTTATTATTTGTTCTTTGAGTTTAGAAATGAAATCGCTTTTTGTTAGATGAGTGAAATATTGAGGGAGATTTGTTCTGGTTCTGGACCTGCAGAGATAAAAGAAATATGGAGGAACCAAATAGTTTTGTCTCTTACGGTTATTGATCAAACATTTTTAAATATTATTTAACATAAGATTTCAATGACATAGAGCTCCTTGCTTCATATGTACTGTTACTGTTATAGTTAGATATTTAGGAATTTCAGTGTTGACTCTCTACGATATGATTTCCTCACTTTTTTAGTCAGAGAAGTCCTTGACATTTTCAAAGCTACTGTCATAATCCACAGGTATAAACGGGAGGTATTACAGGCATTACAGCCACGAGGAACGCCATATGTCGCTGCATGTGCTCTGTCCTGAGAACTCACCTGCATGGCTGCTTGAGGCTTTTGTAAATCTCTTTTTTAACTTATTATACTGTTTGTTTTTGAAAGAACTGTGTGTCTGTGACATTTGTCAACATTTTCCTCCAGTCTGAGTTGAAAGACAGTTAATTGTTTTCACTGTAAATTAAATCAGATGTGTTCAGGCACCACAATGTGATTTATCTGCTGCTTAGGAACCAAAGCAGATCTTTCAGTGAGGATCGATGAGCTGTGAAATTGATGATGCTTGTTTTTTTTTTTCTTAAAACAGTGTTTGTTTTGGGATTTCCATTCCTGTCTTTTTTTGCATTAGTATAACCTTGGATAAGTATACCTTATCTTCAAACCCCCATCTCCAATTGACTTAAATATCTACTGAGTGTGCTTGCTGTTTAAAAACAAACAAACAAGTTTGTCGTGTTAAAAATGTTCTTGCTGCACTTCCTGTCTTGTGGAGAAAGTGAGTCAGTGGGGAAAAAATGGAGGATGGAGTTTAATTTATACAACCCTCTCTTACCACTGAATATTCTGCAAATGTTGCATAAAGTAAACTGTCAAGTAAAGTTGCAGTGCCTAGCAAAATTTTGGTTCGTGATGCAGAATTCCCAGTATATGTTGACTGGGCAGAAAGGATTAAAGATGAAAAAAGGAAGTCAGATAACATTAAAATCAAGTCTTGTATCGTTTTCTTTCAAGTTTTCAGGCAGCTGATTAAAGAAATCAATCCTTAAAAAAAGTCTACTGTGCAAATAAATATGATACAAATAGTTGTGTGAGTAATTAAATAACATAAAACAACCCATCTGCTGTTTTCTCTCATTCATTTGCAGCCTCGTTGAAGTGGTTTGCACTCTGACTGATGTGTGCTGCCTGTTCTGTTGTGTAAACTTCATGTCTTCTTTAAGACTCTTCATTTACTATCGACTGTTTTCATTTAGTTTACTTCTACCTGAACCAGCGAGGCCATTTGATAATTGAATCTGTTGCAGGCAGTTTCTTTCATTACTTCTTCAAGTCCCCCATTAAATGGTCGCTCGGCCCTTCAGCCCCATCATCTCGAGAGCAGGGGGACTATCAGCTCGTGTTTGCGAGGGGTCTGCACGGTTTGTGAGGAGGGAGACGAAGCCTCCTGGAATAGATTCTGCTGACGGGGGAGTGAACCTACAGTGCAGCAGGAAATGTCTCTCTTCTCCTCAGCCCATTAAAGAGGCTATGGAGAGTGTTTCTGTGCAAGAGTGCAGCAACTCTCCAAGGGGCTTCACCACATTCTTTTTCCTCTGCCCTCATCAGTGTCTGATTTATTTATCCTGTATGAGGATGTACCTGAGTTCAAGAGAGGGCTAGTGCTTGTGCTAAGTCTCTGTCATTTATTTTTTTTAATCTATTTTTAATTTAAATTATGGACTTTTTTTTTTTTGTACATTTGTGTGTTTTTTATGTTACCGTCTTGGAGAATACAGATGTGAATTAGCGTTCTTACACTTTGTAATTTTGAACTGATGCTCATGTTGTGTACCCATCAAAGAAATGAATAAATAAAATCTTACAGATTGGGTTAAAGGATTGTATCTGCTATGTATTAACAGTTGGGATGGATATTTAATTTTTCCATATTGAATGCCTGGGGTTCAGTTGTTCTGCATGGTTTGGGGTCCGTGAAAACACCTCCCTCGTGGAAGTAAGAATCTATAATCCTTGACAGGTTCTAAGGCTACTGTCAAGCTCTGAACCCCCTGAATCAATCAGACTTTTCCTTCAATTCAGCACCTTTCAATGCTGGAAACTAACTCATGTTTTAACCTATCTTTGCTCTTTCCTCCTAGGTACATTGATGAGTGAATTACCCAATAAAGATGTTCCTGGTGACTCAGGATGGAGATGAAGGTTCAAAAATAGAAGCTACAACTCACTGCCGTATGGTCAAACGGGTTGACTGCAAACACATTCTCTGAAGAACCACAGCAGGGATCATTTATAGCCTCTGATTGATCTATGGACTATCTTCAGTCGCTCATTTGAGATTTATTCTTCACTTTGTAATCACAAGAAATGCCCCTCTAGGGCAGCTATTGGATGACACTTAGAGTATTGAAGGATGCGTTGAGGATGGTGAAGACGATTGGAAGTTGAAGTCTTGACCTCAAGCTTGTATTGACAGCGCGTGCTTCTGTGTGGCAGAAGCCAAAACCCCAGCTGCTTAAATCTAATAACTGAGCGTGCCTCGGCTTGCTGCTTGTTCACCAGAGGGCTTATTAATTCTCACCACTGATTTGTCCTGTGTTATGTCTCCTGGAACAGTTTTTTTTCCCCTGCGGCTGGTAGGAAAATTGTGGGTTGAGTGTAATTAGTTGACATCTGCCAGCTGTCACTATGTGACCTCTCTCTGAGTTAAGAAATCATACTCAATAACAAAGAGCCATGCAAAATATCTTCTGATTGCTTAATACAATTTACCCCAGAAAACATTTACGCTTCAAAATATCCTTTTATTCCAACATGAGCGACACAAACTACTGGGTGGTGGACTATGAGCTCTCCTCTCCTGCTCCACCCGGGTTCCCCCGGGGTCCGACGGTGCTGCAGCCCATGACAGGGCACCCCGAGCAGGGAACGGCCCTTTGCTTCGTCGGCCTCCTTGTGCTGCTGCTGCTCTTTCTCGTTGTTCGCTGCGTCCGGATCTTGTTGGATCCCTACAGCAGCATGCCGGCATCGTCGTGGACGGACCACAAGGAGGGTCTGGACAGAGGACAGTTTGATTATGCGCTGGTGTGAAGACGAGATCAGGAGATGAAAATGATGGGTGAATGAATGGTTCTTTGTAGGGACTTGATGATGGTTTTGTATGTTCTGTTCAAAGATTCCTTTTCCGAAGTTTGAGATAATCAAAAATGAAAGAAACTGCTGTTTTTTTTTTTTACAGTATGTTCGGTTGAGGTAATAGAAATAAAGGACAAAAAAAAAAAGTCAATCGCATTTTAAACATTAATTCATATTTATCTCAGACTTCCACTGCAGCTTTTAGAGTGACAAACACCACAGGGAGACGACGATCTGTATCACAGCATAACTTACATCATGTTATTAATATTAATCCCACAATGTTTTTACAAAACCCAGGGCTGAATCATAAAAACAGAACAGAAGTTCTGCTGCTGTAGAGGTCCTGACTGAATAAAAGAGAAATGAAACGAGTTATGTTTAGGCATTGAAATCATTAAGACAGATCTGATGTGTACATTTATTAAATATTTTGATATAGCACTGTCAACTCTAAGTGTTGATTTAGGGTTTAAACGTCCATGCAGCATTTAGTTGGAGCCTTCTTTTTAAAAAAATCAGCTCAACCAAAATGTGGACGATGTCATTTTTTTAAAAAAGTGAACCATGCTGGATATTTTAAGGCTTTTAAATAACCTCTAAGATGATCCTCAGGTAACGACGATTTCTAACTTACCAAAGCTTCACTTTAAATGAATAGTTTTTAAATCTCTGACATTGAGCATGAGCAGCACTATTGGTATCTATTTTTTTTTAAATATTTTCTAGTTTCAAAGCTGTAGTTGATAAAACATACTGGTTATTACAGTATATTTTATTCTGGGGTTGTTCTATTCAAAGTCGCCATCCCTTTAAGAGGCTTATGAGGCTCAGTGCGGGGTCACAACCCTGGCTGAATATGTGTCATATAAAGTTATGATTATGAAATGCATGTACACTAAATTCCTCCGCCTAATCCTTCTTGCCTTTAGGCCCCTTTCAGTGCACCAGCCAAATCTGTTCAACAGTGCCTATAGGAATACGAGAAGAAGCTATACTATCTGTTTCATACTAATGATCTTACTGCTCCTCTTGCCACTTGTTTTGTAACTTTGTTTCTGACCTTGATATACAGTGAAGTCTTTTAAAATGTGTTAATGAAAGGCTCTTTATATATAAAGTTTAGTATTAATATTTTACTGGTTAGTTCAAAAGTTGATTTGTTTCCTTGATGACGACCAGAAGACTGTATATAAATATCAAACTATTGTATATAGTCGAACTTCCTGGATGTAGACACTCGCTTCAAATTAGATATTTTCCTAATGTTTCTTTGAAGTGGGATCGTTTATGTTTTTTTTTTAACAAATAAAGCTTTTGTCTTGTCTTTATTTTAGAAAGAGTCATTCATTTACAACACTACGGAGCCCCTGAAGTCCCTGAAAGTAAAAAAAAAAGTACTATCTTGTGCCCGCAAGATAATTATATCGTGCGTTCAAGATATTATGTTGTGCGTACAACAAGTTAGATGACATCTTGTGTGCACTATAATGAAAATATAATCAATTATATTGTGCGCAAAACACAATATCTTGTGCGAAAAATATAATTATCTTGATTATTATTATTATTGATTATGTTTTTCTTCTCCAACTTTTGGGGACTTCAGGGTTCTCGTATCAATACACACACATGCACACACAAACACACCAAAATTTACAAACACAAAACCTTTTCTTGCGCAAAGGCTGTCCTCACTGCTTCCCTCAGATCAATATAAATAAGATTTAGAGCAAATGAAATCAATCGAACAATCAATTGGAGGCTCGTAAAGAGACACAGTCAGTTGATTTACAAGGATCCAGAGTCAGATCACCCCACCCTGATGAATTATATCCCAACGCTAAGTGTCTTAGACCCTCAGCATTCTGCCGGTGTGGATGACAGACATACATATGTGAGAGCAAACTTCACTTTAATGTCTAAAACAAGAGTCTAGGCTAGTTCAATGGATTTAGTTTTGAATGACAAGTACCAAAAACAGTGGCAGTCATTCCTAATAATTAAAAAAAAAGATTTCCCTTTAACTCCCCTTATTCTCCCTGGTAGCTCAAAGTTCCTCTTGTGAGCCACATGACTGCTGACAAGCTGTGACCTCCTCTGGATGTTTTGAGAACTACAAGTGAGAGTCCAATGATTTCTATGAGATTAAACTGTGATTGAGCCAGAAATGTTCACGTGTTTTTAAGTTAAACCTGGCTGGTGAGAGGATTGTGGGTAAAATGTTCGGAAAAAAAAGATTGTTTCAAACTTTCAGTCAGAATTTTAGTATTTTCACCTGTACATCATTCATTTATCAAAAGACATTACACTGGGAGTATGGTAAATTACAGAGACAGTTCGTACAGCAACTTATAGTTGTTCTTCTCTTCCCACAGATTCTGCAGAGTTATGTATTTTAGTACTTAAAATGAAACAGACACCTTTTCAAACATGGTAACAGCATGGCTCTGGGAGGGGGAATGTCCCTCTGTCAGTATCCCCTGACATTTTGGCCAACAGAAGCTTAGAGGTTTAACTCATTCAGGTAAATCTCTAAATTTATTATCTATGATTTGGTAGAAGATTCGGTAGACGTCCATAATCCAGAGAATGAATCCTGTTTGGGATCCCCTGACTGTTCTTGTAGCATGATCATGATATAAGACAATAATTAATGGGGATCATAACATTTGGTTGAGACATTTTTGTTGCTGTCATGTTTGTAATGCTCACCAAGGGAAGTGTCCACATTACACATGTCCTTGCTTCTTTAAATGGCTACCTTTGAGTTTTAGAATTGATTTTAAGGTTTTTATTGCTTGTTTTGAAAGCCTTAAATGACCAGGCCCTACCCACCCTATGAGCTGTATTGTACCTGAGAGCCTCCTCCAGGGCTTCATAGCAGTTCCTAAACTCAACTGGTCACAAAAGGTGACCGAGCCTTTGCAGTTTGGGCCCCACAGCTGTTGGACTCCCTGCATGGAGATGTCAAGCAGTAAACTTAGTGCCCTCTTATGAAATATTTCTTTAACTCACTTTTTTAGTTGGCTTTTTCTTAACCACTGGCATTATTTTGCGCTTATTTACCAGTTTTTTTGTTATATTTATGTTGAATTTATGTTTGGGTTTTGTTCACCATAGAGAAATAAGAGCACAGAACATACATCCTAACTGGACGGGGGTGAGATCTAGTCTAAACAGGCTTCTTTCCCTGGTTCTGCCTGCTCTGTCCTCCTTCTAACATTCTCTCTGCAGACTCTCTTGACTGTTTCCCCTTCTCTCTTTTCATGGTTCGGAGATTGTCCTTTCATTTGGCACATGTATCTTGTTTTTAATTTCAAATACATGTTTATTTGCCTGAGTTTTTGTTATTTGTCGATTTGTGTTTAACATTTTTGCTCGTTTTAATTGTAAAGCACAATTGAATTAAAACAACTTAACTAGCTGCTGTTTGACAACTGTGAATGCTGCACCAATAAACACTTCCTAGCTGATTTAATAAAGGCTAGGAAGTGGTTTTGAAATCCTTCAAAACAACATTAGCTTGGAAGTAAATTCCAGCCAGAGTCACATTAGCTATATACATCGTTTCTATTGTATTGTGTAACACTATCAAACAGTAACAATACCTTTAAGCCACCTTTAACATGAAGCTCCTGTGAGGAACTTTCTGACCCCCTAGGTCAGAGCAGTAAGTTGTGCCTCTTTTTGATCTAGTCCTGTACATTTGTAAGGTTTTTATGATCATAAAAGTCTTCTCCTGCTCTCAAAGTCAATCATTTCACTCGCTGTGAACATTTTCTGTAAATGTAAATAAAGGCTGTTTCGGCTACACTCTGTTCATCTCCTCGTCTGACTCCTCTGTGGAAGGAGTTGTTTCAAGCTTAAACAATTACTATATTACTATATTACGTTTTCTGAGGGGATACAGTTCACAGTCAGACTTTGGTAACTCGGACCAACCCTCCACAGAATTCAGTTTATCAGGCTCCAACAGATGGTTAGTAACAGAGAAACGACCCCCACCTCATTAGTCAGGCAATCAACAGGACAGATTCTGCTTCGGTGGGCTCTGACAATTTACCTCCTTGATGAAACAACAAAGGCACTCAGTTCCCATCATCCATTTCAGGATCATAATTGGTATGTTATATTGTAAAGAGAAATATTGTATATATTGTATATATGTATATATTGTCACATGCAGAAGCAATATATATATCTGTCATGGTCATACTGGCTAGGCAAACAGGTGCAAACTGTATGCAAATATCTTCCTGAATGTGCATCAACTAATATTCTGTAATATAACGTGTCTCCTGGGAGTGCACATCTCAGAGGACCTGAGCTGGAGCCTGAACACAGCACACCTGATGAAGAAGGCACAGCAACCCTGAAGACCCTGAGGCGCAACAGACTTCCTCGCGATCTGCTGAAGAACTCTTACTGCTGCACAATCGAGAGCATCCTGACGTACGGCTGTCCTGTCTGGTACTCGAGCTGCACTGCAGCAGAAGAGAAGGATCTTCAGCGGATCGTCAAAACAGCTCAGTGGATTGTTGGCTCCCCTCTCCCACCCCTCAGAGACACCCACTCGCGCCGTCTCCACAAGCGAGCCTCAAACATCCGGAACGACACATCTCACCCTGTACACTGCATGTTCACCACCCTTCCCTCAGGCAGACTCAGGACCATTCGCACACGGACAAACAGACTAAAAAACAGCTTCTATCCCAGAGCTGTGGACAAACTCCTCAACCCATAAACCCCCCCCCCAACAACACGGGAATACAATGTGCAATAATTACCTAACCACTGATAACTGTTCAATATTACTTGTGCAATAACTTTGTAATTCACTGCTTTATAATTGTCTATTTATTTACTCAGTCACTGCACTTTAACTGTCTATTTATTTATTTATTTATTTATTCATTCATTGCACTAAAACTGTTTATTTACTCATCCAGTCACTGCACAATAATAACTGTATATACTCTTTCACTGCACTATAACTTCACTTATTTGCACTCTATCTCTCTATATACATTTGTTTAATTAATCAGTCACTGCAAAATAATAACTGTATATATTCTTTCAGTCACCACAACTGTCTATTTATTTATTATTATTATCATTCATTCACTGAACAGCAATTGCTCTGGCCACGTTTTGCATATTTCTCTTTCATATCACCACAAATATATTTTTGTTGTTGTTGTTTTTGTAAACACTGCTGTTTAGGATTGCTGCTAACGAAGTTTTGTTGTGTCCTGGTATACAATGATAATAAAGACTCTATCTATTCTGGTAATATGACTCCATCTCTAACCCCCCCCCCCTTTCCCCTTATAACCACAGAAACACCTACACTTTTACTCACACACAAACACACAACCGAAGGACATTTACATGACTATAATGCACGTGTACTTTAGTCAAATATAGCTCTTGACTGATGTGTCAATAAACAAAGTTAAACTGAATAACAATGGGGATGCTTACGTATCTCCATGACAATAACATGAGCTACAAGTGTTGTTTCAAGCAGAGGACTGTGTGAGAAGGCCTGGAGTCTGTGTTTACAAAATGGCATTGGTTTGGAAAAAAAAAAGAAGTGTGTCTGTGTGTTAAGGGTGTGTGTGTGTGTGTGTGTGTGTGTGTGTGTGTGTTTGTCATTACCACAGTTTGTATAACAGCAGTCAAACACAGAGCTCTCTGCCACAGCACATGACATAGTTCAGGGTAAAGTGTGTAGGCTCCACAGCCACACCAAGCACACTCCATTAGAGGTGTGTTTACCTTCAAACTAGGGAGTCCTGGAAGCGTCCGGGATTGTTGCTGTGGGTGTCAGCTGCTGCTTTCCTGGAGAACAGTAAACTAGGATAAGTGAGTTTAACCTACAATGGAGCACAAGGAAATGTAATAAAATATACTCTGTATTTCCTATCAGAGATCTGTCATGAAATGTTTCTTACTAAAGTTAAAAAAAACTTGTGGTAGCATAGGCTTTAAGGAAATGTAATGAGATACAACGCATAATGCATTATAACAAATTCAGCCAGGGTTTTGTCAAGCACGCACTAGAGTAATACAAACTTAACTTCATGTGAACTGAAGTTTGTATACTATACATTGGGGCTCAAAAGCTGATGTTGTCATGACTCGTAGATTAGTCTAATGTTTAATGGCTAGAATTAGAAAAACAGCAGAAGTACATAAATAGTCATAAAGTCACTAACCGTGTCCAAAAACAAATGACAAAGCAATATTTAAAGTAGTTTGCCACCTTATCTAGCATGAGCCAAGACCTGCTCCACAAACACAAAACAAGCTAATGGTTCACTTTTTGTGAGGTTAAATAAAAAAAAAACCTTTAAAAAAACCTTTTATTTGTTCAAATGGTTAGATAATATCACTTTAATGTCAACAGAGACATAGCATGTTAAAAAGGACACAGTTTTAATCTGCATCAGAAAATCTAACCTGAGGATATGTTGAACAAATGTAGGCCATGGCTCTGCTGTTGTCCGGTGATAACACTTAATTTTCACGACTGAATGTTGGAAGATGTTTCACTGTTTGACTTTGAGCTTTTAAAAGCTTAGGCTACCCAACATGTTTAAAGTATGTTACAGGGGTAATATAACACCATTTCAGCCAAAAACATTACAGAGGCTTGTGATTTCACGTAATGACTGTATAATAGGATAAGCTATAATAAGCTTGTACCAGCTTTGTTACCCTGGCTTTGTGACCATCGCTTCAACAGCAGGAGACGCCCCAGGTGTTTCAATATCAAGTTACATCCTGTACCGGAAACCTTCAGAATAAGAGCACGCCAGAATGATCTGTATCGCCAATGATGGAAGTTTGGATGAAGAATTGTGTGAAAAGATGATTTGAATATTTTTTTTTATTTTTTGGAAGAAATGTTTCGTCCTCAAGAGTAGTGGGGGCACCGTTCACAACACGAGTTTCAATTTGTAATAGGTAGGCGTTTCTAATCCGTATCATGTCTAACTTTACACCTGAGCCGTGATGACGGTCCACCTCCTGCCTGCTGTAGCCTAGTTGAAGGGATAAAGCGGTGCCGATAAGGCGCATCCATAACCAGGGAAAGCTCAAGCAAAACAGAGTTTTCAGTGGATTTTATCTTCTGTATCCAGGACTGACCGATTCACCTACAACACAGAGCAGCCTCGAGGTGAGTTTTTGTTCTGCAGACTAGTTCTTATCATACAATGTCGTTTATTTCACGTTGAAATACCCTTCTTACTTACGATCGGGTTTTCATCGGGAAAACCTTGTTGAGATTAAAAATGTCATTTTCAAGTGTCCTAGACAAAAAAAGTCATCAGCACATAAAGTTTCTGACAACAGACAAATAGTCATAGCCTACATAAGATAGGTTACATAATTAGAATACATTATAGCAAATAGGATTTGTCTAGATCACCTACAAATACGATATCAGGCAGAATATCTAGAGCCAGATGGGACTGTCCCCAGTCATTTCACATACCCTTACAAGCATCCCATGAGACCAGCTCATTAAGTTTCAGGTGTTTTTGTAAAGCAAAGGGAGCAACAAACTTTTTCCAAGTTCAGTTCTAAACTTTGGAGCAGAGGGTAAGAAAAGTCGAGGCTTGTGAGTTCCTGTACACATATAAGTCTCCTTTTGGACTCAAACAAAAGGTAGCGTTTTTACTAGCAGCTGAATGTGAGGAGTAAAGAGAGAGATTCATTAGGTCGAAAACAGACTTGATCTGTGTACCCTGAGAAGTGGAGATTGAAGGCTGTTTCAGTGGCTTCGCTGTTTTTTTTAATGGTTAGAGAGCTAGATAAGAGTATTCTGAAAAAGTCTCATCAGCATATAAATAAACATGTGCAATAGAAACATTTTGATTAATGTTAATGATATAAAGAATGAATAGGAGGGGCCCCAGGTGTGCCAGGGGTCAGTCCTGGGGCCACTCCTATTTATTCAGGTAAACACTTGTATGGTTATCTATGTTTGTGGTGTTTTTGGTTTCGCTTATGTTTTTATTTTATTATGGCATTTATTATTATAAATATTTTGAGGTGAGTTTTCAACAGTTCAGAAGATTCTTGTGTGGATTTTACATAGGGTTAATGATGGACTGAGTTATATTCTACTATTATTTTATTTTATTTTATTTTATATTATTATTTTATTGTATTCTAACCTGAGGTAGGGATACACACACACACACACACACACACACACACACACACACACACACACACACACGCAAACACACACAAAGGGTTACCGACTGCTGTCTTGTATCAAATCAAATCAAGTCCCAGTACAAATATCTCCACAACCTTAGTTTACCTGAATGACATCACATTTACATGAAGACCAGGGTTTTAACATTTTCACAGTGTTCCCCACCTTTTTTCTTCAACTCCACCTGTTCATCAATAACAGAATGGACCTGCTGCCTGATGTCTGGAGACAGGATTTCTGGCTTCCTTCAGGTGTGACCTGGATGGACATGGACCAGCTGGCAGATGCTGACCGGCCGCGACCCCTGGACCTCCTCATAGCTCTGCCACTTGCACTGGGTTTTGTCGCACTACGTTACCTGTTTGACAGGTAAAAATACAACTGCCCTCTTTGTTCTTTATAGATAGGGGGGGGGGCATGTTTGGGATGTTGTCAGCTTGATGGTAAGAGCCATAGTTATCACTGCAGTAGTTTAGCTCAACAATATAAAAATGATTTGGTCTGACCTGAATTAAAATCTAGATTTTTCTTTAAAGAAACATGATCATCTGAAAAATAAATGCATGGATGACTTTTTCTTAGTCGGCAGGAGAAAGTAATGACCAGATTTTGCTTAATGGTCTCCGTTAAGCAAAGCAGAACTGCTTATTTAGTCAGCTGTGTTTTATAAGAGATCTGATTCAAAGCTGTGGACCTTTTTACTAACATTGTTAGACAGGGCACCCAAAACGGGGGAGATATTTTAAAAGTACTGGAGGCAGAGTAATAATGAGCATGTCAGGTTTGGAGTAATGAAGCTGTAGAACATCTTTGAAGAATCCAATTTTTAATTCTGCTAGATAGGCCATGGTATTTGAAAGTGTAGTGATGCCACTTTTTAACTGTACAGTACATACAGTTGAGGGTCCTCAGTGTAACAGTGAAAGTCTATGCTGTGCCTATATTGGATTTGCCACAGGGGTAGCATGAAAACAGTGAATAAGAGGGGAACCAAAATGGACCTCTGGGGGACCCCAAAAGAAAGAGGAGCACAAGAGGATGAAGCATCGCCCGCATTACAAAAAAAAAAAAACCTCATTGATAGATATGAGATGAACCAGTCACCTCACCACGGATGCCAACAATCATTGAAAATCGTGACCCGAGCTGTCTCTTTGCTGTGTTAGGAGCTGAACCCAGATTTAAATTGAGATCTGATTGTCATTCATAAAACATATCAAGATTTTAGATAAAAATGGCAGCTTGGAGATGGGTCTAAGATTACTTTAAAAAGGGGGATCAAGACAGGGTTTCTTCAAATGGTTGTGAGCTTTGGCATGTTTAAAAACGTAGCAGCTTATAATAGTTAAAATATCTTGACCAACCGACTGCAACACAGCTTTTAAAAACCAAATAGGAATGAAATCTGAAAGGCAGGTGGATGATTTGGAAATTGTGGCAGTGTGTTCTAGGGTTGCCGGAGAGATTTCACTGAGTGGTATTACTAATAAGCATAAACAAAAAAAACTGTCTTTGCCACCTACTGTAATGCATGCATTGTATTTTCAGTGTAACCCTCAGTTATATCTCTTCTACTGTATCGTTTGTTGTTTACAGTGAATGTGACTATACGATCAGAGGTCTGCTGTCCCACAGTGGGTGTATCATTATTTATTTTAGCTTTCTTTTTGTTTGCCTTCCCCCCAGGTATTTGGCCCCACCCATGGGCAGATGTTTGGGGGTAAAGAAAAGATTACAAGTTACTCCAGCCCCCTCCCCAAAGCTGGAGTCGTTTTACACCCAGAGGAGCAGACAGCCTACACAGGTTAGTCTGAAAAGTCTTCAGTCATTGCAACTCAGCTACATTTAAAGAACATTGTTATTTATTTCACATGAAGTTACCTGAGCACACTGAGGGGTCTGAGTTCTGTGATGGTCACACATTCTTGTCCATTAAATACCTACAGCCCGGGGGGAAATACACCACCCTATGTACCTCTCATTATCCTGTTTATGCTTTTGGAAAAACAAGAAATGGTCCCAGAAAATTATGCACAGTTGCCTTCTTCTTCAGGTTAGAGCAAAAATGATAAGGATAAATATGGAAAAAGCTAGAGTGCATCATGTGACCCTTTAATTAATCCCATTGGGTCTATTTATCGTAATCTGTTTTGGAATACCCACAAACACCAGTAGATCCAGAGAAAACCTTACTATTACACTTTCAACCCTTTCAATTTTGCTACTGCATAGTTGCATAGTACCTGTCAGTTTTAATTTTATTTGCCTCTATCTTAAACTCTAATATAATAGATTATTACAGAAACACCTCCTGCTCCTCATCCTTCTCCATCTCTCTAACTTGAGCCTTCCGGGGTTTATTTTTTTCAGAGTGAAATTGTAAGTTTGATGTCACTGTGTGGTAAAACTCAAAGGCAGATCGAGACCTGGTTCAGACTTCGTAGGAACCAAGACAGACCATGTCAAACTAAGAAGTTTGGTGAGGCTGCGTAAGTGTTCTCTCCTTCAATTACCCTCCACAGTTCAGGTTTTAGATGGCTTCACTCAAGAGCACTTCCTTCACCACCCACTGAAAATGTCCATACTCAGCAGGAGAAGTATACTGACACCTTTCCTATTTATGCTTATTAATCTGTAGGCTTGTTTTTTATTGGTCTTTGTTTAAATTAGTTTTTTGTTTTTTTTTACAGTTGGAGGTTCTTTTTCTACCTCACAGCCTTCACTGCTGGTCTCGTCTGTTTGATTGATGTGAGTACTTTGAAAAGTTTGACAGCAAAAGCATTGTCACGAAACATAGCTTTTGTTCTTATAACAATACTTCTCTGTGAATTAAGAGTGTATTGAAATAATTCAGTAGTTCATGTTTTTTTTTTGTTGAAATACAGGTTCAGATTTATTCTTAAAACTTTGTTATATTTCTCCACAGACGCCATGGTTCTGGGACCGCAGGGAATGTTGGAGGGGATACCCAGTTCAGGTGAAAACATGAATTCTTGTTGTAGCCTATACTGCTGTGTCAGCTTTTAAGGGTAGTCTTAGTCAGTTACAAACACAGGAACAGAACTGGCAGAGGGTTGTTTTAGGAAGCTAGATTAATGAGACTCAACAGACACATAGCAGACTCTCTTTAAATTAGGCTAGATCCACATTGTCAACTTTCTATGCACTCCTTACCTGGGAGAGACAGCTATGTTCAGAGTTCATTAAATTCATTTTCATTATTTCTTTCCAAACTTTTTCTGAGTTGAAGGAATACATTTTTGAAAAGTTTTATCCAAATGTCACATTAGCAGTGCCTCAGAACAAGGCCATGCTGTTAAAATGACACAATGCATTCAGTAGCAGAAAATCAATTTTTGAGACTTGGGCTGAAGTGGAAAAGTCCAGTCCTTCTTTTTCTTTTCCTAAACAGTTTATTGACATTAATGATCAGAAAGAAAAGTGTGAAGGAGAAGTCATTTAGACTTTATATGTCTACACATCAGACTGACATAAGTCTGTGTTGGTTAGACCTCAATATTCCTTAGAGAAACTGCAAAAAGTGCACTTTTTTTCACCTAGTGCCCTTTTAGCTTGTTGTTCATGAAAACATAGAGAAGATGTTTTAATAAAGCATGTAAACTGTATAGTTGGAGAAGGTTTTATGAATTACCAAAACTGAAACAAAAAGTTTTTCACCACATTAGAATAGATTGTTGCTCATCATCCCCGCTCTCAGTTTATATTGATTCACATGGATCATTTGAAATGTTGATGCAGCAAACTTTTGAATGTTGTTTCACTAATGGGAGCCTTCTTATGCTAAAAAAAAGAAGTTTTGCCAGCAGCCTATAGAACTAGATTTGGTCTTGAAGTATAACCACTGATGCAATGAACCAATAATAAGTCTGCTCCTGCAGGAAGAGCCAAGTATTTGTACTGCAGGCTGATGTACTAATGAGAGCAGGTGTGCAGACTAGGAGCTGAGAGTGAGCTGATTAACAGCTCTGCTCATCTTACACAGATGGGAAAAAATGGGAACAAGGAGGGTGGACCACACCCAGGACAGTGCACACACACACACACACACACACACACACATACACACACACAGATACAGACAGGGACCTACAAGGCAACACTTTGAATCCTAAAAGGAGAATAGCCGCGTCTGTAACATAATCTTGCAGAAATCTGGGTGTGAAGGAAACAGATTCTATTTTTTTGGAAGGGAAATTTTTCAACAACAACAAAAACAGGAATTTATCTATTTCCTCTTTACACACTCATGCCAAAGAGAACAATGAATCTTAGCTTTGTTTCAACCTGATATCGAGTTGAGTCAATAGTTGATGGTTAGTAGTGCAGAACGGAACAATCTGGTTTGTGTAAATGTCCTCCTGGCATTTCCATAGTTTTCTTTTAAACTGTGGAAATGGTTTCTTTATCTTTTCAGTCATATTCAACTTAGTCTGCTGCTACTTTTAGGGAAAATATATTTTATTGTAAAGCAAAGAATTAGCTTGTGGGCTTGCAAGTAAGGTTTTTTTTTTTTTTAAATAAGAAAACCGTTTACCAGTTATTTAGAAACAATCCAACAGGAAACAACTTTTCTACAACTTTGGATAAAGGTTTTATATCTCTTATTATGCCAGAGCTACTCTCAGAGGTTGGATTATTGTAAAGTGTAAAAAAAATATGTTTCTTTAGTTGAAGTGATGTCATAGCAGCAGATAGTTGCCAGTACATCGACAGTACACTGATAGTAACACTGATGTCAGAATCATTTTGAAACGTTTACAAGGATGCTGGTCTATGTGTGAAGTATCAGAGAATTATAAACATGTGCAGGGGTTTTCCTAATGTTTCCTTGTGTTTCATTCACAGCCCATGGAGACAACTCATTACTGGTACTACATGTTAGAGCTGGGCTTTTATGGCTCTTTACTCCTCCGGATCTCTGTGGACATCAAGAGGAAGGCGAGGACCTGAGTATTCATTTCTAATTTCTCCTCTTAGTTTGTAACCAACATTGTAATTTAGAGGACATAAGTCTTCTGTTTGCTTCAGCCTGCTCATATTTTAAGTTGATGTTTCCCATTGCTGCTCTCGTGAGAAACTCAACTGCACACAAAGTTGATAAGTGCAGGAATATCACGTCTTCTATTGACATACGGAGGTCTTTCTGTTTTACTGGCTTGATTTGCAAATGTTTTATCTTCCAGGATTTTAAAGAACAGGTGATTCATCATCTGGCCACCATCTTCCTGCTCAGCTTCTCCTACTGTGTCAACTACATTCGTATTGGGACCTTGGTCATGCTGCTCCATGACTCCTCTGACATCCTGCTGGAGGTAACATTAGATCTTACTTACTCTGTGCTAATGAGGTCAATTCAAATTATTTTCAAAAAAGATTTGTAGGCAGACTCCTGCAGCTGTTATGTGACCATGGTGGGATCCAAAAGAACAACTTGCACATTGAGAGTCGCATGTCATCTATTCAGCCTCCGGAGCCTTAGCCACATGGGACATTACAAATGTAATTAATTCCTTCGGGGCATTTAACCATAGTTTCGCCTCTCAGTTGCCATTTTCTGCCTCTGTGTATCTGTAACACGGTAAGAAAGACGTCTAAACTTGAGTCAGTGGTGCATGCTGGGCTGTTCTTAGAACTATCTGCTCTGAGATCTCTGCATGAGCCTGCAGGACGTTTCTTTCAGCATGCAGATCCTGTTATTGAGTCTTAACAGCTAGAGGCCACTTTGGTTGAAGTGTACACACACAACAAAAGTGTGTATGTGAGAAACCAATTAAAAAGCCAAATATGCTGTTCTATTGCAGTCAGTGAGATGTCTATCAGGGGAAAAAAAAGCAAAGACAAGAACAAAGACGTACAAATCATGCCAACTGCTGGGAAGCTGACCCTCATCCTGAACAAAGCTGACATTGGGTCAAGACAGGTCAAATCACCCTTTATTTACAGCAAGCTAAAGAAGCAACAGGAGCTGACCCAAAGTGTTTACGCTCAATGCAGGCAGTTTAAAATCAGCCTCAGTAAATGTACAGAGGAGAAATGCAATAAAATCAGTTCTAGATAATGCAATGAAATTGTGATAATAGTTTTTAAAACTATCATTATAAAATAAGGAACAAAGAAATATAACCCGAAGAAGAGAACAATTAATAGAACCAACAACAGAGTAAAGAGAAAGAGGAAATCACTGGAATAAAACCGATTTAATTCAAATCAAGGGAATAGGTTAGTCTTTGTGGTTATTATGAGATAATAGGTTTGATATGGTTATCAGCTAATAAAATAAAATAAGTGTAAGGCTTTAGCTGGTGACAGAACAAGGATGGCCAACATGGTTCAATTCAATTTCTTCATCCTAGGCAGAAGGAACTCCCTTGCCATACAGCAATTGGTGTTGTATTCACAGATTTAGGTTGTTAAGTGAGCAGATTCTGTCAGATTGTGCAGCCTAGCATTGATACTAGAGGTTGTAGTTCTTTGGGAAAAACCTTATCTAACCTTAAAGACAGACATTATAGAATGACAATACAGGAGGCCCTAAAATTTAGCTTAGGGGAAATCTTGTGAAAGCAGATGAGGACAAGCAGTTTCCAATGTTATCTGAAAAGAAAAGGTTCTTTCTCTATGTAGGAGATTAGCCTTTTAAAAGCAGGGCCCTGGACCAACCTTGTATTCCAGATTTTCAAAATAATTAAAAGGTCGTTGAAAGCACAAATGGTCCTGCAAATCTTCCTGTTTACTATCATCCTAACCTCCTGCCTTGGCTCATTCACTTTTAAAATATTGTGTCATAAAGCTTTGAATGTGGTTTGTATTTGTTTGATCCATTAATTCACTCTTATGTTTGCAGTCAGCCAAGATGTTTAACTACGGCTCTGGCTGGAGAAGAACGTGTGACACACTGTTTATTGTGTTTGCTGTTGTCTTCCTTGTGACTCGACTGGTAGTTTTCCCCAGCAAGTAAGGTCTACTCTTAAGATGTTTTCTGTGCTTGCTGATTCAATATTAGACTTTACTACAGTCATTGGTAAATGGTAATTCTTTTGTCTGAAACACTTTTTTAACAAGTTATTTGATCATTTACAGAATCATCCATACCACCCTGGTGCTGTCCATGGAGGTGTTTGAACCTTTTGTTGGCTACTATTTTTTCAATGTCCTGCTGATGGTGCTGCAGGCTCTTCACATCTTCTGGGCTGGTTTGATCTTACGCATGGTCTACAAGTTCCTGAAAGGCAAGGTAAGAATCACTGATGAAGCTAAAATCACAGGGTATCTCTGACTGTCAAATCATAAATACATTCTGATGTAGTAGCTTTCATACGGGAATATATACTGTACATTAAGTCAATTCCTTTGATTATATTAGACCACTTTCTTTGTGTTTAACCCATAATCTGCTTCTGTCTCCAGCTGGAAAAAGATGAGCGCAGCGATGAAGAGAGTGAGGACGTTGAGGATGAAGAGGACAGTAAAGGAGAAGAAGTAAATAAGGATCAAGGAGGCGATTACTGTTGGGAGAAAAGTAAAGACACCCTGAACTCAAAACTGTCTGTGCTGACCAACAGTTGTGTCCTAAATAACTTAACCAACCACAGGGCGTCTATAGCTGACAGAATGCGGAAAGCTCAATAAAGTCTACAGTATTCTGATAACAGGAAGTTGAACTATCTTACTGTTTCAGTGATGCCTTACACATTGCATGGATGATATCTTTTACGCTCTCTACAGTTCCTGAATCAGATCATATTTCATTTTTACTGAGAGCAAAGCTAAGCGAGTAAAGCTGCGAGAGTCTACTCATTAGTCCTTGTAAAATGCTCACACAGGAGAGGAGAAATGTAATCCATTGATCTCTGGGTTATGGGTCCAGCATGCTTCCAATGCACAACTCTTCTAGTCACCCCTGAAGGGACTTGAACCCACAACCTCTGGCTTGCGGGGCCAGTGAAACTGGGGCTGGTGAATATAAACTGAGGCCTTAGTATAAAATTAGCAACACTGACATTTTAGATAGATAGATAGATTGACTCTTTATTATCATTGTATACAAGGACACAACGTTTATGGGTTGAGGAGTTTGTCCACAGCTCTGGGATAGAAGCTGTTTTTCAGTCTGTTTGTCCGTGTGCGAATGGTCCTGAGTCTGCCTGAGGGAACATGCAGTGTACAGGGTGAGATGTGTCGTTCCGGATGTTTGAGGCTCGCTTGTGGAGACGGCGCGAGTGGGTGTCTCTGAGGGATGGGAGAAGGGAGCCAACAATCCACTGAGCTGTTTTGACGATCCGCTGAAGATCCTTCTTTTCTGCTTTGATATTTTTAAGGTCACAATTTTATGGAGGTGGACAGTAGTCTGTGTATGAAGTGAAATTATGGAATCTTAAAAGCATCTAGTGCCTTGTTTGAAAAACAATATAAAAACAAATATATATGTGTAGATACAATTGTTGGATAGGTGATTAGGTGATGACAGGTAATTTCCTATTGTAAAATAATGCAGTTATGTTAAATAAGTTATTTTATATACGACGGAGGATTAGGGCCACGTTTTTTTTTTTTTTTTAATTTCGAGATTAAACTCCTAAATTTTGGAGAATAAAGCCGTAAATTTACGAGAATAAAGTTGTAAATTTACTAGATTAAACTCCTAAATTTACAAGTTTAAAGTCATAAATTAAGGAGTTAGAGACCAGCCTGCGCAAAATGATGAAAGTGGAACTCTTGAAAGTATTTTCCTCTGCAAACAACTTCCTCCAAGTCAGATGTGTGGTCTTGCAAGACCTGGTTTATTCTTATTACGACTTTATTCTCGTAAATTTACGACTTTAATCTCGAATTTTATTTATTTTTATTTTTATTTTTTTTAACGTGGCCCTAATCCTCCGTCGTAATTTTAAATATAGGGAAAATCCTCTTTTTACTTTTCTCTGTCTGTTTTTTGTGAAAATTTGAGTCATTACTTTGGATTCTGTATAATTATCCTAGTGTTTAAATAACTACTCTTTTAAATGATATGTTCATATTCATTCCTGCCAAACGTTTTTGTAAGCAGCCAGTTTACTGGTCTGTGAAATGCCATCTTTTGCTTCAGAACTATAATGATTTAAGTTTGACTTTTTAGCTGTTTTGACATGAAGAGCAGGTTTTTCACAACAGATAGCCTACACACGTGGTAGCAGATGAAAGACAAGTTATGGGCAAAGGTGGTTGTTAGAAATACAAAGTAATTCAATTGTTTGTAACATCCATTTAATATTTAAATGTTAGAAATAAATGCAAAACATTACTCTTTCTGTCTCTTGTAACTATTTTTCATTTTGACATTGTAATTTAGTGACACTGTACTCATGCACTCACCTCTCTTTGAACAATACTTTACCGTATCTTTGTGTTGGCTTTTTATCATATGTAGCAGAGAAGGTTTTGAATATGTTTAATCAATCTTTAATTTAATAAAATAAACATAGGTTATAATCGTGGTCGTCATGGTGATATTTTGCTGAATTACACTGCCATCTGGGGGCGTGAAAAAGTGTGACACTGGCACCCTGTTGGCCTACCTGTAAAACAGATGAACATTCTAGTTTAATGTTACAGTGGTAACTATGAATAAACAAGGTGGGTCAGTTTGGTGCAGTGTTTACCTGTTTAAATACCTAATAACATGAAGGATGTGGGGGCCGAAGCTTCTCGATCAAGCACGTGATCGGTTTTGTACACTACGTCACCCACTTCCCTCACTTCTCCGCAATCAATTCAGACGGAGCAATTAGGGAGAGGCCCTCTTTTTTTAAATCAAAGGCGAGTGTTAGCCTACCCTACTTTGTTTTTATCAATCATTTTAGTTTGTCTTTTTTGCGCTACTTCACAATTTGCGTTTTTGTAAAACTTTTCAACAATTGTACAAGTGTCAAAAAATATAGGCTAGTTATCAGAAACTATTAAGTTGAAGCGTCGTCTTTCTCATCTTTAATGTTGACCCCCGAGTGTTATTGTTTCCCACACTTTGTTAGTCATTGAATGGTTCATAATAACTTTTGGTTAAGTGCATTGAAGGAATCAGCGGAGTCAGCTTTTGTGCAACTGTATTCGACATTAAACATGCACTGTTTATAATCGTTGCCTCTTTAAATGAGGTTTTAATTGTTTTTACTTTACAACAATACCACCCCTCCCCCAAGCGGTTGAAATTGGTATTACACGTGTGCTAAATCGGTATCTGTTAATGACAGAAGGGAGCGCTCCTTCACTGGTGATTTACATTATCATAAAACAATGGGAAACCCGCTGTACTGTACTATAATGTATTGTTATTTATATGTGTCTTTGCATGGTTGTCTTGGCGCTAGTTTAGTCAGTGTATGTAGGCCAAGTGTGTTTTTCATTCATTTTTTTCATCTTAAATGAAAACTGTGTAGTCCTTTATGGTTCGTTCACTCTTGAACAAAACATTCAGAAACATAATCTTTGTTTTCATGATCTTTCTAAGGGTTAAAGTAAGCGCCTCAATTAATGCTGAAATATTTACATACACAAAAGCCCCTTACTGGTGAAAGCAGACTTTTTAAAGTTGTCACCAAATAAAAATGTAATATAGAATATGAGTGTTTTGTGTATTTTTTCAACAGGTCCTATGAAGCAGCATCATAGAGCCCTCTCATGAGACTGTGAAGAGACTGTTTGCTGCAAACCCTGGTTTACATACTAGCCTGCGTGTGTGTCCCCAGTATGGCTGCACTATCCCCAGCAGCAGGACATGGGCATCAAGGATAAGACTGTGACGTCACCGTCATACGGAAGTACATCGTGCAATTAGAAAAACATGACGAACGGCGTCTACTCAACCTTAACAGTTTGATTCAGGGACGTGAAAGAGAACTCAGCTGGGCCTCAACACGGTTGTAGGGAAAACGTAGTTTGTTTGGATATCACTGCACTACTTGATCAGTAAATCAGCTAAGCTACTGAAAAGCTTTGTGAGTCAGAAAACAGTGATGCTACCACAACGCTACTGCAAAAATGTATCTACAGTAAACTACTAATGCTGCTATTGGCAAAGAGTCATTGAAGGTTTGACGCACACGGCCGTGGGGGAAAATTAGGATTCTTATCGCTTAAGGTCTGGTTCCCAAAAAATAGATTGCAGCTGCTAATAGCTCCAAAATTGCCGCCTAGTTTGCTCCTGTTACCTGCTCGGTCTAACAGTCTGCCTCTGAAAGCATGTATGCATGGTTGGACTTTGTACTTCCTAGACTACATGCACAAGTAATATAAAGTACTTTTACTGTGTACTTTTTGAGAAATCCATTGTCAAAGTCCATAATAAATCACTATAGAGAGTCTTTTTTAGGACTTTGATGTCTTGTAAAAAAAAATTCTTCCATAAGTAGAAAATGATTCTGATATGGTTGGACTTAGTACTTCCTTGACTACATGCACAAGTAATATAAAGTACTTTCACTGTGTACTTTTTGAGAAATCCATTGACAAAGTCCCTTATAAAGCTGCTGACAGCCCTGGACTGATTTAACCTCTGGTTTTATTCATAATAGTGATATCAAAGTAATATTTACAGATCATTTATTTTGCGGTAATACGGACATTTAATTGTTTTCCTGATCGCTGGAAAGTTGTCTTTTAAATACTGCGGTGCAGTTACCACCTACTCTCAACAGACGGTCACCTTTTCACTCTTCACTGTACGTTGGTTTTAGTGCTGGTGTGCACAAAAGCGACTCAATCTTTTTCTGAATCACTCCCTCAGGGTAGCAGAGAAGCAGTGGTTGAAGAAGATTTCAGAACTTTACACAAATGATTGGAATAAATAAACCTAAAACTCTGCAATGCTTGTAAGAGTAATGGCATCCAAACAATACAAAAAGAATAAGCACTTTTGACCCATTTGGCAGGCCGAGTATTGTCTGTGTGGGAAACACTGAGATAGCAAAGAGAAAAAAGACTGAAAAATATTAGAATTAAAAACACACCCATGAGTGACTGCATTTGTTTTTATTTCCAACCAATCGTGACGACAGCTCCAAGATTTTTTTGACACAGAGCTGACACGAAGATCAACAACCAAGGCTCAACAATAAGGCTCGGAACATAAATAAATACAGCATCATATACTCCTTTAAATAATACAGTCAGCATGGTAACAGGTTCTGAAGGCGTTTGGCATATTGTCCACAGCTAAAGGTAACGTGCTGAGAAATGACAGAAGGCAGAAATGTGCGAGTTCCTTAAATGAATCGTAAGTTCTTAAATCAGTGGTGATCACCAAGACTTCAATACAACTTATCTGTAACACTAAGTGATGACTTATTCACTTCATAACTTTGAACATTACTTATCTATGTCATGTCAAAAGACTTATTTATTCTAAGTGTCATTACTTGATGTATCTTATCTACGTACGTTTACATACAGGTTACAGCAACTTATCTTAATTTAAATGTTTCCTACTAGTGTTAGTACAGATGTGATGAGGGCATTATGAATGACTCAACACTTTTTAATATATTTTTCTAATATTATTGTAAATATTCAGATCTTATGTTTTAAGCCATGTCCATGCCAGAGTGAACTATGAAACACTGTTTGTGTTAAATTTATAATTATAGCTTGTATGCAGACTGTAAGTTTGTCTTGTGCAGCGTTTTATTTGTTTCACTGTTCTCTGAATATTTTGTCAATGTTCCTGTTAGCTTTGACTCATTTTGTTGTAATGATGTGTACCTGTCAGTTGAATAAAAAATAAACAAGGCCTCTTATCAGTAATATTAACTCTGCACTGTTATTTTGTGTACAAAAGTCATACCTATGAAATACTACAAGCACCCTTACTACTGCCTAGCACTGTGAAGCACTTACCTTAGAGTTGGTTTATTGCATTGAACATTACCCTTTAAAGCATCATGAAGCGTTACATTAGACTGGACAAGCATGTGTATGCTGCTTATGCCAACACCTTGCTGAGAACAGCACATTGGGACACCTTCCCACAGCCTGCAGAGGTGGCTCTTGTGCTTGAAGAGGACAGGGACCAGCACCATCTTGACTAACCCTGTCATCAGTATGTCTCTGTCTCTTGAGTCAGGTTTCCTCCATGTGTCTTATTTATCTATGAGTTTGACCAGACTCTGGCGGAGGTCATTGAGGTCAAAGATCTTGATGTCCAGAATTTCAATGGCCCTCTGGATTTCAGAGTCCATGCGATCCCGGTCTTCCAAAGAGTTATTCAGGTTCTGCTCTGAGTTCTGGATTCGGCGCTCCAACTCTGAGTTACGCATCTCCATCTCCTGTAGAGAAGAGGAGGACAGGAAAATTAGAAACACTTAATCTGATACTTCTATTTCTTCAAAAAGGTTCCATAATTTTGATGTTGTTGAATAATCTATCTTTAACCCGTAATCTGCGAATGGCCTCATCTCTATCGTGCTCCATCTCGTGGTACTCTGCTTTCTTGTTCTGCAAAATATGGATTTCCTGAAAGAGAATGAAAGTTTCACTTGAGTTTGAGTGGATCCATTTTTTATCATGAAGGGTCACATTAAACCATAGACTATTGCAGCTTTCCCTACTTTAACACCAGCTAATTGAAAACTGGTACAACAAGTACCTACCTCATCTTTGGCCTTCAGCAGGGACTCCAACTCCTCCAGGGACTGAGTCAGCTCATCCTTCAGAAGGTCACTAGGGCCGTGGCCTCCATGGGCCTCTAATTCAGCCACCTTACAACACACAAACACACACACACACACACACACACACACACACACACTGAATTAAAACATTTTCCACTTGTGGGGTCTCTGACATCCCCACAGAATTCAGTACCTTTACAAATGACACTATGAGTCATGAGTACCTA